CCACCGCCACTATTGTCAGTGGTAACGGGAGCATATATATTTGGAAGGAAGTGTTTGACAGTGATCGAAAATTTCAACCAACGCTGTTTCTCCAAGAGAATTTTCTTCTCTTTGTTTTATAGTGATTATAACGATTGTGAATCACGGTTCTTCGCCGTGGTTTCCGTTTTCTCGATCTTGCGCGCGCTTTGCTCGCCCGTAGCTCTTCCTTCCCATCCATCCATCCATCCACCATCCCTCCCTCCTTCCCTTCCTCCCACCCTTCCTCTCTTATTCTTTCTCTCTCACTCTCTCCCTCTTCTTTCGCGTGTTATCCTATCTCACTCTCTTTCTCTCCCTCCATCCATCGATCGAGCGCGGCCGTGGCGTAATATAGAAGAACCGAACCGTGCGGACGTGCATGCGTGCGTGCGATGTAATTATCGTTCGTGCTGTCATTGATGTCCGAGGTGGTGTCAACGACGATAACAACAACGACGACGACGGCGACGACGAAGACGCACTGCTGGCTATCTTCACGTGAGGAAGTGGCACGGCCAGCCGAGGCGGCGACCAGCAGAGGAAGAAGCAGAAGCGGCATATCATTCTAAAGTTTTGACTGTCAGGTGGCGGTGGAGAAGCGGGTCAAGAAGATTTCAGAATGAGCAGCCGACCGAGGACCACCTCCTTTGCCGATTGCACTAACGCGCCCTCGAATCCGCCCCTGGGTGGCATGAGAGTCAGCAGTGAGTACCGTAGAACATGCCTTAACCTCTAGCACATAGCTTTTACTCGGTTCTCTCGGATTTCTCCCCTCTTCTTTATCCCATATTCTTCCCCGCACTATACCTCTCTTCCTCGAGTCTCCCTCCCAGAGATCCCCTTCCTCACTTGTTGCCCCTCTTACCGCGCTCTTTTGCCGTTTCGCTCGTTTGCCTGTCGGCCGTCTCCGAATGCAGAGCTGTGCGTCTGCGTGCGAGTGCCTGGGTTACTCTTGGGAAAGCGATGGAGCGGGTGCCCGAGGAAGAGGGTAGGGGGGATCATCACTTTTTTATCCAATGCTGTTCTTCGGATACCACCTTCGTAATTCTCGATTTTGGCGGCTTTTGCTGAATCCGATGTTTACGCGACACGCGTACCACGGTTATTCTCGCGTCTTCTTCATTATCGTCCGCATCGTGAAAACGCGATCTAATTTGCGGGTGTCATCCACAGGAATCCTGCGCTTCTCAATCGTTTTCGCCAGAAATCGCTGTTACGTATATTCTTGAACATGTTGTGACGTAGAAAGTGTAGATGGTTCCAGTAGAATATTGATCATAAAGTGTGTAGAGACATGACAGTGAAATTTGTGGGATGTTAAACATTGTATTCGGCTGATACCGCTGCATGGATATATTCAGTTTTTAATGATTTCAATATTTCAATAGTATAGTACTTTCTAACATAAATCAATAATATTGGATATATCAAGTTTTGAAAGTGATAGTTGCTTGACCTAACCTATGTCCAGTCTTGGCATGTTAAACAAAGTTGATTGCATGATTATGAATTTTTTAAGAAATTCTGGAATGATTTTCTAAATATATAATTGTGAATAAAAATTTAATAAGATGTTGGATATGTAATCTTGAAATTCAAGTTAATATATTTTTTATACAATAGAAAGGAAATTTAATATTTTTTGTTTGAAATATATTAAGAATTTTTTATCATAATTTTTTGTTGGAACTTTTTTTACAACTCGATTACTCAAGAAGTAAGTATATCGAGTAATAATATCTTTTAGAATTCAATTTGTATATATTATTATGATAAAAAAATAAAATCTTAAGATACAATCATATAAATTATACAAATTATATAAAATTATATTGCAAAGTGCTCAAAACTTTAAAATTGTTATCAGATTCTTGCCAATATTTGTTTTAATTTCATCTTTAATCTCATTCTGCAACAATATGACTGGCAATAAAAAAGTTCAAGCAATATAGTATCGTTTCTTTGACAAGAAGCTTATGCAATCTCTATTACCAAAAATAGTATCTACTTATATGAAAGGTTGCTTTTAATCGGTTATAGATTTAGGTTCTTTTCTATAATAGCTTTAATATTTATAATAACTTTTCTATAATAGTAACTAAAATTATTGAGTAAAATTAAAGTAGTGCATTCATTTCTCATAATTAAAAGTATTTAGAAATTTCACTTAAATATTTTCTTTTGCAAAGTATCACAGCATGATTTCTTTACAATTGATTTCTTTACAAAAGAGCAAATCATTTTTTTGAATAGTTATAATTCTTTATATATATTCACAAGCAATTTTTTTTTAAATAAGCATATAAATGTGTATTATTGCCAAAAACTTAATTTTTAAGCTTCTGTCTGCTTCAATAATTATGTAAATGCAAACAATTTTATTTTCAATAATGCTATTTTATCATTTGATAATTTTTAATAAAAAAAATTGTTTACTAATTATTAATTAATTATTATTTATAACAATCTTTAATTACACAGATTAACTATTCTTAACTATTTTAAACTAAGCTTTATCATTCTTTGAATATAAATAAATATATATTGGAGATATAAATAAAAATTCTTTTTTATTATGTCTCCAAAAATTTTCGTTTTACCTATATAACTAGAGGATGAAATTTTTCATAAATTATTAATTATTGATCGATTCATCGAATAAATAGGATATCCAATGAGAAGTATCGTTTTTAGAAAAGATATTATATATTGAATAGTATCATAAAACAATTTAAAGAAGTTTATTGATATCATCTAATTGATATTTGAACTACTTTCTTTCAGTTCCTTTCAAAATTCAGTTATAGATATATACTTCGAGAATAAAAGAATCCATAATAGTATATTATTAATGAAGAGGAGAACAAAATCAAAAATTTTTGCTCTGTTATCAGTTTCATATAAAAATTCGTAAAAAAAATTAATTTATCATTATATTGTCATAGTTTTATTTTCATTATTCTAAATCTTCGTAAAAGAATCAATCTCTCTCTCTTTCTCTCTCTCTCTCTTTTTCTTCTTCCACGAACTCGTGTTTTTTTTTTTTTTTTTCATTTTTCTAAATCTTCGTAAAAAAATCAACCCCCCCCCCTTTCCCCCCCCCCCCCTTTTTTTTTTCTCCCCCCAACCCGGGTCTTTTTTTTTTTTTTTTTCATTTTTCTAAATCTTCGTAAAAAAATCAACCCCCCCCCCTTTCCCCCCCCCCCCCTTTTTTTTTTCTCCCCCCAACCCGGGTCTTTTTTTTTTTTTTTTTTTTTTTCATTTTTTAATTCAGATTTTTAAGAAAATATTCAATATAATATTTTCGTTTTCTTTTGTATAATTTTAAAAAAAAACATTGGATATAAAAACAATGTATATTTTAACAGATGTAATTTTTGTAGGAATAATTATAGTTTTTTAATTATTTTTCGAATCATATAAATGTAATTTTTATAAATTATATTTATATTTATATATTAATATTTATATATTTATAAATTATATTGGATTTTTTTTTAATTTCTAATTTTTCCAAGCTTTCTAATTGTGAAGTATATATTTTTTTAATATCTATAATACTTGTTTATGCAAAAACAGAATTTTTATTATAATAATATAATATATATAAATTTAATTTCCATAAAAATAATTTTTGTAAAATACTTCAATTTCCAAATTTTCTTAATTTCTTTCAAAAGAAAAAAATGTTTGTGGTACCTTTCTAAGAAAAAATTTCACTATCGATATATACAAATACATTGTGTATCATGATCTGTTATCGATGTTCCACATAATTTGTATGATGACGCTCTTTCTTCAATGTCATACTCGAAAAAGCATTCGTCGACGAATTTTTAAAACAGATCAAGAGCTTTATGTATACAACATCGACAGGCCCGAAATAACAAGTTTTCGTTCACGTTGGTGTCAATCGCCGCACCTCGTATCGATATATCGAACGGCAGACGTGTATCGCGTGCATCATACGATATATTTTTGGCGAATCGCCTTTGTGCAAAGATATATGTAGAAAAATCATTACTTCTTCGTTCGCATTCTGCTACTTTCAAAAATACAGAGTTATAAAATGAAGAGAGAAATCCTTTCAATTTTATTCTATGAATGATACGAAGTTTTTATCAATCAATTATTATAGCTTATTTAATCAATTTTTGCATAATTGCATACATGAAGTAGCAGTTCGATAATTATCATTATATATAAATATTTATTTTCTCAATGATTATAATATACATTATGTATTAATAAATTCGTTCTTGTCATCTTGTCATGAAAGATAATTTTCAAATAGACGTTTTTTTTCGGTATGGACAAAAGAAATATATATGAAACGAATGTGGAATCGTTTATTAATTCTTAAATTGAATTATATAAATTATGTAATGATAAAATTAGAGAAGTTTGATTTTAGTTCCATTTTTTCATTGAAGAAAAATCGATAAAAATAGTAGTGATATTTTCTGATATTGAATGATGCAATTAAGATTAATTTTATTTCACATTCGATATTTAACAGTCTTAAAAATATATATGCTTTAAATTTATATGAAACAATCGTCATTAAAATTAATAAAATATTTGTTGCAATGTATGTATACGATTTATATTTATCGATTTTCGTTTATTTCGTTTGACAAAATATATTTTAAATAGCAATTTTTCTTCTTTAGAATTTCCCTTACGAGAAATTTTCCTCGTTTCCACAAGCAGGATGAAAAAAGATGGTCAATGTGAAAAATTCATACCGAGTTTGCGGACGCATCAATTTGAAATGATCACATTCATGGTAGTCGTTTAGAAACTGGGTCAGTATTATGGCGATGTATCGAGTATTTTAAAGGAAACAAAATGTAAAATGGAAAAATCTTCAATTGAAGTGGAATCGGAACGGATGGACGTGGTTCCGTGGCATGCACGTCACAAGAATAGTGTCATCTACAGCGCATTAATCGAGGCGAATCTTTTAGAGAAGCCGTGCGCATGTGCACTCTAGATTCTTTCTCTTCGGTACTCGCGTGCCATGCCATAAAAAAAAGCAGAAAGCGTGTCGAGGAATCTCAAACGAAACTGCTCCTCTCTGTTCTTTTGATCTTTAAGTACTTGGATTTCCTTCATTAGATACATTGGACAATTTTTTACGTATATGCAAGATTCAAAATTCCTGGTCTTTTTTTATGCAGTTCCGCTTCTTCCGCTTCTTTTATTTCATACAAACACCGTGTCCATTCTTATGAATTCATGGCAACTTATCTTTCACGAGGAGGATGAGACGCGTTCACGTTTAAAGTTCGTGGCTGTTTGCGTTGCAAGAAGGTTGATCACGTTACCGGCTCACGTGTCGTTATCTGGGTCAATATGCCCCCATGATATTAAGCCATTCGCGACACGCGAGTTTTGCAATTGGCTGATTCGTCTCGTTTCTTTTTCATTCTTTTACGTTACAATTAGTGATAACTCCATCACCCCGAATGCAAATAATCGGACTTCTTTATTCATTAATCATTCATAATCAATGTTTTGTCGATATATCATTGATAAATGTTTTTTTTTTTTTTTTAATTCTACCTCTTTCTTTTTCTATTTTTCTTTTTCAATATCTCTTACAAAAATTTTTTCATTTGGAAAAAAACCAGGTTTTTTTTTGCATAAATTAATAATGATTAATGGCAAAGAGCAATGAGAATATTTAGCCGTATTGTATTATTATTGTATTTCAAAAATTTTTTTTTTACCGAACATCGATGCAAATCATACATAGCTTTTTTTTAATTAAAAAGAAATAAAGAAATAAAAAAATATTTCTTAAATGAATTTGGAATTAAAATCGTTGCATCCGTTTCGTTTTTAGAGAGATTTAAGATTTATTTGTTTAATTATCTCGAAAAATAATAATTGGTCGATAATTTCGCGGCACGTTGTTCGACTAGAATAACGACGCCGATCGCATTTATAAATAATCGCGCGTGATGGCCGATTAAGTAATTACGAATATCGATATCTCGTGGTTGCCAGGCAGAATGGAGACAGTACTGGTACCG